AAAAAGCTTTTCTTATCATAGTCAAAAATAAAAACCCCAACTATTACACACCCTTCGATATAGAATTTCACGAGCTACAAAATGATATATAAAACATAAAGAAACAAGAAGGCTATGTTATCTATGGCAAAGATAATTAAACGGAAATTGATTCTGTTTTTTGTCTATGCTCTAGTTGACCCACAATTAGAGCTCTGTCTTCTGATCGCAGAGATGATACTTCGAAGTTTTCTGGGGCGCAGAACATAAATCTGAGCTCCATTCGCCACGAAATCCTATTTCTTAAGCACTAACCAATAGAATCAAGTATTTATAGAAAAGGCTTGCCAGTATAATTTTGATGTTCACACATTCTAGGATGGCTCGTCTGTCTAATTCACGTTTTTGAAGTACACATAACTCTCGGATTTAAATCTGGAATTTCCACAATTATCTATTTTAATACGTAATCATTTGTATATACCTATATCAAGACACAAATTTGTTTTTGTTCGATGCAATCATATTTTCTTATTCATGAGCTTTGAAGACCTGGATTCGTCGTCTCATTAGTGATAATCCGCATGTTACAATAGAAGAGATAGAAACGCAGGGCAGTCTAAGTTATGTTACTGTTCAAAGAATCATTTCCGAGCATCTGAACCTTAAGACAATTACTGTCCGCTATATACTGAAAAATGTAGCCGCTATTCAACGAGCAGAAAGAGTCCGGATTAGCAAAGAGAATCTAGAAAAGGTCGAATAAGATACATGGCGTTTATAAGATGTGGGGAAAAGAAATGAATCATGGTTTTTTCATCAACAAATCGGTCGAAAGGTGTTCAATCCTGCATGGGTGGCAAAAGATGATCCCCCATTCACAGTAGTGCGACGAAATTACTATGCTCCAAAAACATTAATGTGTATTTTTTTTTCAAGTCGACCGGTCCCGTTTTAACTCATCGTGTTGAATCTGGACAAACTATTGATCATGAATACTACAGCGAAAATTGCTTAACACTTGCTATTCATGAAATCAAGCAACGATCTTTCTCAGGCACACAATCAATTAAAATTCATCATGACTATAGCAAACCACATGCCCACAAAGCTGTATCAGATCATCTCAGATCAGAAGGTGTGATAACAATACTATATCCATCTAATTCGACAGATTTGGGACCATACGATTTTTGGTTATTTGATTTTATCAAACAAAATACAGGTGATCAAAATGGCACTGAATCATTATGCAATGCAGTCACGGAGGGTGTGGGTGTGGGTGAGGATGGGGTGTAGGTTTGGGTATTCTTTGCAGTGACACCCACCCACACCCACGCTCACACCCACACCCACACCCACACCCACCCATACCCCACACCCCACACCCACCCACACCCACACCCCATATCTTGAGTAACGTATTATACGTTTTCCTAGTATATAGTCTGATGCTTGTTTAATCCATGTTCTGAGTATGGAGCAATGGTTTGTTATAAAAAAGAAAGAAGCAGCAAAAATATTTTTTATTAAAATCGCCAGAAGAATTACTTAAAACTTCGACTAAGCAACTCTTTACTTCTGAGTCATTAAGTCTAAGTCTTTTATTATCTTTAAGTTCTTCCATCAAAGCTTTTAGTAGATTAGAAAGATCAATAGGTCTTTTCCGGATGCTGTAGTTTTTGAGAAATGGTTGCAATGAGTACGTTAGAGTGATATGACCAAACAATCAACGTTATAGTTTTTGAAATAAGTATGATTGAGGTGTTTATCTGTTCGTGCAAAAGAAGAATCAGAATACTATTCTTCGAACTTTAGCAGCTGTTTTTTATTCAAAAATATCTTGATATCACAAGGAATAATTCAACGAATCTGATGCTACTCTTTTTTTGATTAGAACTAAAGCTAATTCTATTCCATTAAATGTCTTAAGATATATATATAATAAGTACAAAGCTGATTTCCATCATTGAAACCGTGATTTACCTTATACTTGTCCATTCCATTTACGAGTTACTTTGCCGATCGATATTTTTTGACTTTCAATGGTAATATGGAGTTCCGTTGTTAGTCTGTGTTAGAGTTGTTAATGTAGCTTCATAACAACTCCAGGAATGCAAACATCATCGGCATATTTCATCTTTGTATTGAATGTTTACCATAAGACAATCATTCTCTTTATAGTTGCGAGAACAGGCATACCAAAAACCAATAATAAAGCAGCAAAAATGAATCGAATAGATATCAACAGATCACAATGGTTTTTTTTATCCATATTAGGTAAACAATTAAACGAAGAGAAGTTGTCAACTCCATTACTTTTCTTTTTCTTTCATATTCGTGCCTCACACACTTACTAACGAGAGTCTATTGTGATATCATTTGATACGGTGATGTGAACTATCCAAAAGAATTGGATCGAAATGGAGGGAACGTATGTAGAGAGAAGTCTTGTACCAAAAGATTGTCTGATCATTCACTTCGAAGAAAAAAACACTAAATTTCATATGTAAAGGCATTTTTCTACAAAGGCGTAACGGAACATTACTCAAAATGCAGTACTTCTATAAAAAAATGAATCATTTCACAAATGACTTCAGTGAATATTTGCTTATATGTGGATTTATTGTATTGTATTTGTTCAAAATATTCTTGTTCAAATATAGTTGCATACTATTCAATACTTCTTAAATTTATTTCAAAGTTCGACCAATATTTTCTTGGCATAGTGGTCTCATAGAAAGGTAAATAATGTCTCTACTCATTGACATGAATAATCCATACGCAAGTTAGTCAAACAATTAAAAATGAGTATATTTAAACCTTAATTCGCAAAATGTAAGATATTCTTCAGTTATACCAATTATATTTTGAAGAAATATTTCCTATTACTTCATCTTTTAATATTCCATCAAGTTAATGAGTTGAATAAATGATTGTAGCTCAACGAATGAATATAGTCTGTAAAGTTAATGATGTACAAAAGCAGCTTATCAAAAAAATAAATAATTTGATACAGAACCTGATTAATTAAGAATTCAAAATGTTTCTTTCGATCTTGAACAATAAGGTAACTTTAGTATTGGTATTTCATTATTGGTGATTCTGTCGAATCTAAAGGACTAGAAAAGCAATAATAATAATTTATATTCGACAACTGCACGAAGTGTTTCTTTTTCTAATGTGAAATCAGTGTAATTTATGAAAATGAAAGAATGATTGTCACCAAACAAGAATTGATAATGAATTAAAAGAAAAAAAACAAGATAGTTCATGTCTTTTTCCACATACTTACACTCAGCCTTATGTTCTCGTAAACGTTTCCAGACTTTCCTATATACAACTTCTAAACGGAAAAAACATTCGAAGTATGCTTTGTATTCGTAAAACGTTCAAACTGGAAATTCATTCAATCGTGTCGAACATTGCAGTATCTCTCTATATGACAATCGAAAACCAAATACTATTCATGAAAATAAAATGATTGTGTGAATAGTGCAAAAGTATTTTGCATACAGGTATTATTAGTTATTCATTTCTTGATAAGAGAAAAAATAACTAGATATTCTATTCATTTATAATAGAGAGTTAAGAACAGGACTGAATTATTTAGCGAAAATAAATGAAGTAGAAACAAACTCACTAGGCTTGCGATATAACATGAAAAAAAAATTGAAGAAAGAAAAAGAAATAGTTAAATACACGAAACCGAACTTTTTGATCTCTGCAGCGTTTTGCTTTTTTTGCTGTTTCTTTTCGTTCGATGTGACTAAACTACACCATTTTGCAAACACTGCTGTTATATATTTTCGTTTGGTTCTCTGCCAATACGTGTATAAAATACTTATTCTCCTTCTCAGTTTTTGAATTGAGCCAAAAATTGGCATCATAATATACCAAAAAAAGAAAAGTTAAAATAAAATGATGCAAACATCGACTAACTATGATCAGCAAGCTAAAGAGGAATTAGATGCTATTCGGAAACAAATTAATAGAACGACAAATGAATCGTTAGAATCAACACATCGTATGGTCAACTTGGTTGTCGAATCTGATGATGCCAGTAAAAATACAATGAAAATGATTCAAGAGCAAGGTGAACAACTAAATCGAATTGAAGTAAGATTTCATTTTATTCTAATTATTTTTTTTTTCGATGATTTATATTCTGCAATGTATATCAGCATAGCCTTGGTAATATTGATGCTGGTATGACTGAAGCTGAAAAAAATTTAACCGATTTACAAAAATGTTGTGGTTTATGTGTTCTACCATGGAAAGGTGTTCGTCGAACATATCGAACATTTTCAAATAAGAGTAAAATATATAGTTGTGAAAAAACATCAATCAGAACTATGGAACCTAAACATAGTGAGACTGCTGGTAAAGAAATACCTAAAACTGGTTATATAACTCGTATTACAAATGATGATCGTGAAGTATCAATGGAAAATAATTTACAAGTAGTGAGTAATTATATTGATAATTTAAAACATACAGCAATTGATATGGGTAATGCACTCACAAATCAAAATGAACAAATTAAACGTATTACCGATAAAACTGATGTCGAAATTGAACGTGTAAATGAGGCCAATGTACAAGCAAAAGATTTGCTTCAAAATGGTTAATTTCGTTTTTAGCATGTTCTATACAATTTCTTGTTTTGTTTTTGTATTTATTTGTGTGTCTAAGCATATTACTCTCATATTACGACAATATGCAAAAAGAAGAAAAACAAAATCACTTGAGCTTCAATAAACAACAACAAAAAATGAATTGTTTTTTCTATAATCGATATCACCAGGCATTTCACAATAGGTCCACGTGACCAATATTTTCATGTTCCTGTATGCATAACTATATCGGTTTCTTTTTTAATCATGAGACTGCCTTCACTCTATAATATATATGTTTTGAACACCTAATGTACTTTTGCAGTATGAAAGTATTACTTTTTCATTAGAATTTATATTGACATCTATTATTCATATCGTCTTCGTCTCGAATTACCATCAATTGAGCACTCTTAAGATTTAATGCTTGTTATACTTTTCTATGCCTTGCATATAAAAATCTAATTAAGGAGAGCAAACGATGACAATTTAGCCAAGAATAATTCTTGAAATAAAAAGTTGCTTACATATTTTAGTGTGGATTAAAGTTTGAAAAAATACTATAATTTAAATAATGGCTATCCATTTTTCATAGCCAATATTTTTAACAGATAGAGATGGGTGTAGGTGTGATTTTTTCTGTTTATCCACACCCATACCCACCCACACCCACACCCACACCCACACCCACACCCACACCCACACCCCCACCCTTGATCCATTAGTGATTTCTTGATTCTCTTGTGTTTTTT